CTTGCGGGTAGTCGTCGGCTGGCACATATCGTCGAAAAAAGTTATAGCGGACAGGCGGACGATATAGCTATGGACTTTGTTCCCAATAAACAAGTATTCCGACCTTCTCAACAGGAAAAAATATCCGAGTAAAAGGCCACCCCACAATAATTGGTTGCGCGGAAGTGAGAGGTTCATGTCGGAAAAGATAACTCGCAACATACGCGCAGTCAAGGGCTGTTGCTTGGTGACCGGGTTAGTAAATCGAGGAATTCCACGGAGAAGAATCGCGTGACTGGCATTAACTCCGGGATCGTATCCTGCTAAGTTCGGGTGGTGCCAACGGATCGCGCAGAGCTTGCCGCATATTGTCGAGTAGGAATTACCCGTATTAGCACGATTCATGCCGAACTGCCACAGATACACTGCGTATGCGCCAAGCTGCATCGTGTTGTGGCTGACGTCGGCCTCCGTCAGCCATGGGTCGAAATTCATCATGCCGCACCACCTGACCCATTGAGACCACCCGCGCTGTACTTAGGGCGTCTCGACTGCGCTAGAGCTCCTGCTCGCAATAACGCTCCCAGAGGCGCGAGAGATTTCGCCAGTCGTCCGAGATTTGCACCTGTTGCCAGGATGAAGACAAACAAGAAAAGGTTAGTGCGTGTGAAAAGGACTGCCACACTCTGCTGCCTGCATCCGCCATCTTGTTCTTGACTCCAGCCACGTGCGATGCCGTCGCGAAAAAACCATGTTGCACCTCATAGAGACTGACGATACGAAGCAGCATTTGCGCGAAGGGATTCCTGCTAAACCTCTTGTTGCTCCAGGCTACAGCCGACATGTTAACAATCCAGAACTTCACGTGCGACTCGGGATCCTCGTCGCCGCTCGTCCACGAACTTCCCCAAATCAAAGCATATACGACACTCATTAGTTCTCTATTGATACCGAATTCGTTGTTACCACTCTGATTGAATTCTCGAGTCAGCTCCCGTTGAGCGTGGTCGAATTCAAGCTGGAACAACTGCTTATGTGCCGGAAGTGCGCAGAGATCTCGATCACTGGCATCCATTTGAACATGATAATTGGGGGCAGACCGCGATGCAAATCGAACCATAGTGATAGAATTGAGCCTTCCTCGCTGCAAAATAAGCTCAAACCACCGTAAATCCTCTGTAACATCTTGCGAGATCGAAGTTGACCCGAAGCGTGGCGACAAACGACCCTGCTCCGCTATTCGCTGAAAGAATGACGCCGCCGGCCGGATACAGGTCACCACGTGTCTGAGGCTGCCCACGAGCTTATTCAACTTCGTTCTGGTCGTTCGTTCGCAGCCGATAAATTCTTGAACCCGTGTCAGTGCCTTCCTAATCTTCTCTGGTGGCATGGAAACCGTCAGTGTCTTGAGATTCCCGTTGAGCCCAAGAGCTTTTCCTTCTTTGAACCAAGAAAAAACGTTTTCTCGTTGCACGCCGACGCTCCTAAACCGTCATCATTGAGGCCCGCAGAGCAAGATTCGCCTCGGAAAAACGGGAGCCAACGTCGGCTTCGATTGCGATGTGGTCATCGCACCATGCTTTAGCATCGAATGATCCCTTAGTACACGTTGGTTGGTCTGGCCACATTGGAGCTGCACATGCGTATAAGTGATTTATCGCTGCACCAGCCACCCAGTACGACGATGGCAATTTTTTCCACCCAAACGGGCAATATAGGTCGATCACAAGAATTCCCAGCTCCGGAATTGTCCCCGCAAAACGTCCAACGACCTCAGCAGCAATTGGAATGTGGCGGAAAGCGCCGTTGACATCCCCTGTCATCAAATGTTGCTGGTCTGGGTGTTCCGAAGCTACATCCAAGAC